GCACTGCTCGCGGGAATCAAAGCAAGGACCTTTGGTTTCACACACGAACGGTTAACCTCTAGACCTCTGAGACGGCATCCAGTGGCATTTAGTGTCTTACTTTGTGCTCATTAGTAACTAGCTTCGAAAGGAAATCCCGGAGTTCTAGTGGAGAGTCGTGACCAGTGGAGTGTAACCCTGTCAGATGTGAAGCAGTAACTGTTAGGATATTATTCTTGTAAGTCTAGTTCTATTGGTCAATTACTACTCGTCAATATTATGGTCGTCCTAGCTATCAGTGTCACGTACTTCAATGTTGTTTCCGATTAGTCGTCCAAATGTTGTCACAGATTTCAGTGTTGTTTCCTGTTCAACCTAAATGTATAAATACGCATTATCTGTAACGATTTATGACCCGGATCCTTAGTCCGGGATGCTGATTCTATTCTGGACTCGAACCTCGTGCTTTCTGGGTGTTTGTAAAATACAGGTTCTACTTCATATCAAGTCTTCTTCTTTTACTCAATGGCGGGGTTGGGACAGACGGATTAGTGTAGCCTGTCGTGTCGCCGGATCATCGATCCTCTCTCTCGTTTACTGACAAAGGTAAACTCGTAATAGTTCAAGCCAATCAAATGACATGTTTACGTACATGTGTAATAGTAACCACCTGGAAACAAATTGGTGATATTAATAAAGCACCGCGATCGATAAATCCTTATTAGCATATGATAGCACATGTTTCACTTGAATTACATATTTTAGGTCAATAACATCAACAACACTAACAAATAAATTTAAACCTGTTCAATATGTTGATAAAATCTGAACTCAGTAGCTGAGTAATCGATATTTTACTGAAACACATTCAACTCACGAGTCTTGCACATTATGATGCATACTGTTCATATTATATTGACGTGTCAGATTATTAAGTGATAATTTGTTGGTGATTTTCATACGAAACACCATTTCATGAATTCACATTGATTAGTGTTCTGAGCTATCATCTATTAGAATACTTAAATAAGATTCAAGCCATGATGATTGTTCAGCTATTCTGTGGTATGAAAACTACTATGTTAAATCCCCTATTATTTATGTGACTTTCAATTATTCATATATAAAATAACGTTAAAGCTACTACCTACAAGGGTATTTAATGGATTGATGAATTTCAACGAAGTAACATTTCTGAGCATATAATTCTAGTATTCATTTTTGAAACCATGAATCGATCAATGTTAGACTACCATTAGAAACCTGGAATCACTGGACGGCCGTTTCGTCCTGGTATGGGACTCCACAGGAGTGCGCATCCACGACTCCTGCACCCTGCAGGATTCGAACCCGGGACCCTCAGTATTGTGCGCGAACGCCCTAGCCGTTAGACCACTGAGCCGGTATCTAACGGTGTTAATGTCTA